CTATGAGTCGTCTACGACTCGATGGCATTAAACAACAACAACAACAAGGGTCTCACTCTGGTATCGCTCTCATGACAGACTTGTTCCAGTCTCCCTCAAGTCTTGCTGCTCAGTGTAGTAAGCACTCTCTCTCTTAAACTAGTTCCACACCTGTTAATGATTTGCAAGAGTATTTGTCTGCAGTTAACGTAGCTGGAGCCCAGGAGGGGCTAATGTAATAGGTAGAAAAGCCAACCTTTTTTTATTGGTTTGCTTAACACAGTTTGTACACATTGTATTTCACACTATTCTTCAATCACATTGGGTTTCATACAATAATTCACATGCATTATGTTTTATAAAATTTATAAAAATACCATTGGGTCTGGGCCATCATGACTCTGTCTTTTCACCTGAATCCTTCCCATTTCCCCCACACACACACTTGCTTCACTCACAAAATTGTGCATCCCTGTGGTTTTGCCCCTACTCATTCTTACCCCTCCACTTTCACCCCTTCCCCACTTGAGCTCCCAAGCATGATTTATCCTTCTATTTTTACAACAATGGTCTTATGCAGTATTTGTCTTTATGAGACTAAATAGGTTTACTTAGTATAATGCTCTCTAGTATCTCCCAAGTTATGTAGTATTTTTCAAAATCATTGTTCCTGAATGCTGCATAGTATTCCACTGTGTAAATATACCACAGTTTCTCACTCTATTCAGTTGTAGTTGGACATTTGGGCTGCTTCCATGTTCTGGTGATTGTGAATAATGCTACTATTGAACATTGGTGTACCAATCTCCATTTGTGCCTCTGTTCTAATTTCCTTGCGGTATATTCCTAGTAGTGGAATAGATGGGTTGATGTTCAACTTTTTGAGGAAATGCCAAACTGTCTTCCAGAGTGGTTGTACCATTTTATAATCCCACCACCAGTGTATGAGAGTTCCAACCTCTCCACATCCTCTCCAACATTTATTGCTGGTTGCCCTACTACACTTTAACACTGCTACAGGGATGAGATGGTATCTCATTGTAGTTTTGATTTCCATCTCTCTTATTGCCTGTAATTTTGAGCATGTGTTCATGTCTGTGAGTTGCAGACAATGCTGCATGACTTACACTTGCCTAGATTTTCGTAGAGTCAAAATGGCCACACTTAGTCTTCTAGATTGGAAGTGGGAGTGGCACCTACTTCATAAACAACATGCCTCCAGAAACTCTATGAACTTTGATAAATGTTGATAGTTATAGAAAGGCTTCAGGCCTTTTGTTCATAGGGTCGCTAAGACATGCTCAACTCGAAGGCAATCAACAACAACATTCATATGTCTGTTGAAAGAAAATTTTACAAGCCAACTCTTCAGCTAACACTACAGAGGGCTACTTGTCGTCATCGTATTTTTGAACTGCTCTACTTTCCCTCCCTTTTTAAAAAAATTAATTTTAATAAACATTTGCAGAGATTGTGGATTTCCATTCATTCATTACTGCACTTTTCTCCCTCCCCACCAGTTCATTCCTCTCTTTGAAAAGAAAAAGAAGAAAAAAAAATTCCTTCATTAGTATACAATTAGCCCATCTTTTTCCCCTCCCCCGCCCCCCTCACCGAGTACACTTGTCTGTGCAATCTTAATTCTGGACTGCTCTACTTTTAACCAGTTAGTTCCACTGACTGTCTCAAATTTCTTTTTTCTTCAGTAAGTAGTTGCTCTGATAGACTCTCTAGTTCTTTGTTTTGTCTTCTATTTTGGGAGCCTAACCAACTTAAAACTGACATCTTTGTTCTAAAAGTTACTCACATGAATGAGGCAGAACAGGTTATACAAATGGCCATTTCTTAATGTTCACATGACTCACTTAATATTCTTACTTAATATTCACACTACTATTCTTCCCAATATCCTGGGTTTTAATCAGGAACCCACAAAGAGTAAGAATAAAATTCCCTCCCTTCGTTTCCCTTCTTAGCTATCAATAAATATTATTCAACTATGTGTATCAGAAATTTGATAGATATTAAGACTGAAGTGATAAGCAGTTACTTCCCTAGAAAATTATAGACAGCGCTGAATTTAATAAACAGAAATTTGATTTTTAATAGCTAGCTTGCTGTTTTAAAATTTGAGTTGACAAAACAGCTATATCATCTCACCTCAGTCAGAATTGTAAAATTTAA